CTGGTGATTTCGTATATTCAATCTGTTCCTCAACAAATTGTTTCGCATAATTGTCATTCTCAATCTCACCAATAACTTTCATCATGTCATATTTTCCCAAAGAGTCAAAATCATACGGCATTATTCTAAAACAGAGAATGTTATCTTTCCATTCATAGGTAAACTTTTCCCTCTCCTCTACAAAATTTTCATTCGAAAGGTGAGTATAAAATAGTCCAATATTAATTTCCTCAACTTCCTCCACACGTCCCCAATCATCATTATATTCTCTGATGTGATAATCATCACACGGATCCAAATATCCAAGTTCTGTAGTTCTACCCCTCACAGAATTAAATATCATTCTTCTTTCAAATAAATTCTTTTCATTATCAACCTTTTCTTCATCATCATCAACTTGATTATCCTCTACATAATCTTCATCATCATCTTCATCATCGGAATCTTCCCGTTCCATATAAAATTCATGAGTATTTTCATGAGCGTCGGTTTTTATCCACTTTTTAATTTGTGAATTATATGAATGAAGCAGTAGAAGCTCATTACATGTTATTTCTTCGTACATGAATGATGCTGGTGCGGAGGCAACTGTGTCAGAGGCGTCATTATTGGTATCACACGGCATTTTTTTTTTTGTAAATTGTGAAATTGAGAGAGCAATAGGCCTGACTGATCTTATCAAATATTTTAATATGTTTCATTGTTTTGATTCAATTTTTTCAATTGCTTAAATGTTCTTAAATGTTCCTTCCATTATTTGGTGTTCGGTGCGATTTCCAAAAATCAAATCTCATTTCTTAGGATTATCATTTTGTTTTATATATTTTTCTTTATGAAAACTGAGAGATAAATAGGTGAAGATTCCTTTTCAGATTACTAACTATCAAGAGATAAAACTTTTCGAAAAATGTATTCTCTTGATTTGTTTTGAAATATATATATATATTAGAACAAAAGTTAATAAGGAAGCTAAATAAGGATAACTTGATCAATAAAATAACCACGAAAACTCATTCCTTTCCATAAAGAAACTAATATATTATTTAAAGATAAATTTACTGATTTCCTTTCTTAATCAATATTTAAAGATTATTAAATTGAAATATTTTCAACAACATGCATTATGACAAAATCAGTTTAATGAATTCCGATTTCAAGCATTTCAGCAAATAATCTTGTTTATTTAAACAATAATTGGACTAATTCAATCTGACTTGAAGAGGATCAAAACTTACAGAAAAATAACAAGTAAGTATTTTGGTAATAGGAGAACTTTCTGTAATATATATATATATAACAAACTACGAAAGTGTTTAAATGTACTGTTTTTCAGAAAAAGGATTTCCTCTTTGAACAACATCCTAAAATAGTGATGCCGATTTGGTGATATCAACATATCACAATGCACTCAGTTGTATTGTTTTGAATGCTGTTCAACATGTACTACTTACATCTTGGTAAGCATTCTCTATCAATAATTAAAAACGTACAAACGTTCTTGTCAACGATTTTCAAACATCCCATTACAGGTTTTTTAGGAGAGAACAATAAATCATGTTGTACAAACTTCCTGTAAAGGTAAGCCTTCAACACCCTCAGTAAATATTGACCCTCTACAATCCAATTAATGCAGAAATTGAAATTTATTGTATTTTTTTTAGCCATGTTAAATAAAAGAAAATATATAGTAGGTTACCCAAACTTCTTCTCATAAAAGGAGAGCAATCAAGAAAATATTATTCAATAAGGGTGAAAAGTAACAGGAGAGATTACATTCAAGATTATTTAGTAAGATTTTCTCTTTGAAAAGCAAAACATACCAACATTAAAGTTAAATTACTAGATAGAAAACAAATAGAACACCTTAAATAAGGCGAATATTGTAATAATTCTGTTATAAATAAAATTATTAAATTACAACTATCCAATTTATGGGGTGTTGATTTGTGAAATTAGTAACGAGTTCTATTTTTATCAATATATATATATATTTGAATGTTCAATTTTTATGGCACTACAGTAAGGGGGAAAGTTGCAAAAAAACTCCAAGAATTGTTCTTCTTGT